CCCGGGACAGTCACTTGTCCCCTCAAGTTGAACATGGCGTAATCTGTTGAATCAACAGAAAAAGCACAAGCGATCGGCCTGTCGGTCGCGGCTGGTCAACCATGGCGAGGGTTGGGTCAGTGGGGAAGAAAGGACGACGTCCATAATTAGTCAGCAAAACCAATAGCCGGAGTGGGGGACGGGGGTTCAGACATTATTTGGTGTGAATATTTGCTATTGTTATTGAAGTCGCAGCCCTATGTGTTATTAAAATATACAGCATAATTTTATATTTTCTATCTAAACAATGGGTGGTCGTTTTGGGCATTTGCGTCTCTACATTTATGTACATATTTTATAACATATGAAAATGTTCTAATTGGTGTATGTGGTCAAAGGGTTAGGCTATTTGCTGTTGCATGCTTAAAAGACATGGGTTCAATTTCCAAGCGAGGAGGGTTGTTTTAAAAAAAATTCTGAAGCAAGTATCTTTGTTGGCATATTATGTGGGTGGTTGGCCGGTGCTCTGGTGTTGTTTGCTCCTTTTTTCCCTATGAAACTTCTATCATCCTTATCTCCCTTCTGCCTCTTTGTGTTCGTTACCTTCTTATAACACCTCTAATCTTCGGCACTTATTTGACCCCATTATGTTGCAAGTGCCGTAAAACTCTTACTTAAACTAAAACAGGGGTACTATCATTATAGGAAGTGGATATTTATACGGCAGACCGTCGAAAAATCGGAAGTGATAATTCCACGGCACATAAATTCAGCCAATCAGAACATCCGGACTGTTTATAATTAAGCCTATAATCTCTTTTCCAAAAGTAATGCATTATTATATAGAGAAGACACCTGTGTGTTTAGTTAACAATGTTTATCCTTTGCTATCATTTTGTGTATTATGGACAATGGTGAAATGTTTTGTGTGATTGTAACGAGAGTGAGAGATGCACAATTTATTTTGTGCAAGCAAAATGGAGTGAAGACTTTTTTTTCCAACAGTAAGGTGCCCATTTGCGGATGGGATCGGGTCGGGTCGGGTAGGTATGATCACCCGACTCGTCGCCTGGAAAACAAACACAATTCTTGCATTGTTACACTTCAAACAGAGCCTATGCCGTCGAAATATCAATTCCGATCTTTAGACTCAAGACGGCATACCGTATAGGTATCACTTCTGATGTTCAGACAGCATGCCGTGGAAATATCAACTACGATTTTCAGACGGCATGCCGTCGAAATATCGCTGCCCATTATTATATTCAACTCGGATTGGTCTTGGTCAACAGGGCTGAAACAGCCTGCCTCTTAAATGATTTAGATATCGTCGATGGGGGCGAAAATCACAATTATAAAGGGCCTTAGACACTAAAAGAGTACCTTCCAAACTGATGTTTAAGTTCAAGCCCTACTAGATGAAGTTTAAAAAAAGTCTATTTCAATACTTATGGTAGGCCTATTTGATCCAAATCCTCGTTTGACTTTTAGCGGCATGCCTGTTCTGGTGTTTAAAATGGCACACCATGAAAGGAACCATCAGGAAGGGATAAAAATATTTGAAATTCTTTGACCACATGAATAGAATAAATGGACTTGAGACATTTTTTCTGTGTCGAAAGATTGGGGAGGGGGGGGGCAGCAAAAGAAAAAGAACAACATACACATATATGGTCTAAACATTTAAATTTCGTGACTGACAATATCGTATTCAGAAAAAAAGAGAAAACAAAACAACCGAGCTGATTAGGAGAAGTGGCTGTAGCAAAGAATTAGGGAACTTTGGTCGTCAACGTCCGCTCTAGACCTGACACCTGAAGGAGATGATGTTTCAACAAGAACAAGATTCTTCGTTAATCATTGTCAGTTTAACTCAGCAGCACATAAGCTCTCACTCTGAAAATTTACTGGTTTAGCATTTCAATCTCCAGTTTTATCGTTGCAACGTTTAACCTTTGTCCTTTCATTTTTGTGACATCAGATTCGTCCTTGGCCTTTTGGTGGCCTTGACCGCTGTGGCGGTGGGTCACGAAGGAGATGAGGGTAGGCAGAAGAGAATGTTTCCCACACGATGCTACCCTGGAAGTCACTGCTTCCCGGAACAAGAAGATATCGAAAACCTGAAGGTCAGCCTTTAAAAAAAACACCCTATGGTACTGATGATATTGCAGCAGTAAGGGAAGAAGAAGAAGAAGAAGAAGAAGAAGAAGAAGAAGAAGAAGAAGAAGAAGA